GACAGGTCAGCCAAGAGACTCTTGGCCCCAGCTCTGCCCTGGATTTGATGTGCTCACTAAAATCTTATAAGAGCCAAAGAGATGCTAAGTTCCTCAAGCTACCGAGGAAAACTGGCGAGCCCTGAATTTATTCATGCATTCATTCATTCAGCAAATATTTATTGAGTACCTATGTGCCAGACCAGCTCTGGGGGCGGGGGGGAGACACAAAAGTAAAGGTAGACACAGTGGTTCCTGCCCTCTGAAGTATATGAGGGCACAAGTCCTCTAAAAGCATCATCCTCAACCTTCCTGGGTGTATTTACACTTTAGAGTTATAAAGGATATGCCGAGGCTTCATTCATTGTATCTCCACACTAGCTCCCCATCTCACTAGACTATGTTCACTGATTTGCTTTCCCTTTCCCAAGAGGAAAAGAGGCCCAGAGGAGGGCACTGTCTTGCTTAAGGTTGCCCAGCAGACTGGGGGGGGGGGGTAGGCAGCAGTGCCAGGCCTGGGCTGTGGCTCCTGACATTTTTATAAGGTACAGAAGTTTGGTCGTAAGGACCCTTCAGGACAGACTAGGGGAGGGGCTATGGAAAACACATTTAGATAGAAAGTAAAGAAGAGCTTCTTCACATCCTCCAGAGTCCCCGGGACCAGCCATCTCAGCTCAGTGCTCACCTGGCCCAGGTCCACCCACAGGTCCCACCTACAGCCACCTGTGCCCCTGCAGAAAGAACCAGTGGGGACCTCACCCACCAGAAATGCTAAGGAGGCCTCACAAATCTCAAGTATAGGTGAGGTGGGGACAGCAACTCCCACTTCTTGGATTTTCGTACCAAGGAGGCTCCAATCATTCACTAGCCGAGCTTGTGTTGATCCCCATCAAGATACAAGATGCTGTACCCAGAGCTGTATGGGTGGGGAGTTGCATCACTTACCCACGCACATATTTCCTGAGTAGTTCTGGGTCAGGCACTGTGCCAGGTGTTAGGAGCCCACAGAAACCTGTACACAAACAACCAAACCACTGCTACACGAAGTGTGGTCGCTGGACCACGCCGGCAGCATCATCCGGGAGCTCATTAGACATGCAAATTCTCACGAAAAGACTTGTATAAAAATGTTCACAGAGGCTTTATTTATAATGGCCCCAGCCTGGAAACAAACCCAAACATCCATTGGCAGGTGAACAGATAAACCACTTGAGCTATACCCATACAATGTAATATTAGCAATAAAATAGAACTATATACATATATATATACACACACACAACACAGATGAATCTTGATACTATGTTGAGCAAAATGAAACCAGATGCAAAGATGTATATGCTGTGTATGAAATTCTAGAACTTAAGTATACTTAGTACACTGAAACTGAACTTAAATAAAGCATTGATAATAGAAATCAGATAAGTCGTTTCCTGTAGAGGCGGCGATGGAGACTCTGGGCTGGAAAGGAGCACGAGGGAACTTTCTGGGGTATGGAAAATGAGCAAAATCTGGATTGGGATGGTGGTTACACAGGTGTTTATATTTGTCAAAACTCATGGAACTATGCACTTGAAATTTGCATTTTATTTTGTCAATCATATCTCAGTAAAAAAATGAGCCACAAATCATTTGCCCTACATCACAAAGCCACAACTGAAGATTTGAACCCACGTTTGCCCAATTCCAATGGCCAGTTTACACTAGCCTGCCGTAGTTGAGTGGGGGGGGGGGCGGCAATGCCCTGAGCCTGGTAAAGTGCCTTACCAAAGCCAGAATGAAGGGACTTCATAGATACCCAAGGAAGAGTGTCACAATCTCCCCCTAGCCCCTAAACCACGACAGAGACTTGAGGGGAGGGCATATAAGTGTCAAGCTGGGAGTCAAGAAAACCTGGGTTCAGGCCTCAACCCTGCTCTTCACACGCTATGTAACCTGTGAGTACACTACTCTGTGACTCAGTTTCCCCTTCTGTGAAGCAATGAAGAAGGAGAGGATCTGGTTCCCAGCATGGGGCCACAGATCCTAGGAGCCACAGGGCCACAAGCTCCTATGCTCACTAGGCACTGTTATTACGTGAAATGAGTAACGTGCCTGCCTCATATCTGGGAAGCTATTTTTCAAATGCATGTTAATATTATTGTGATTAATAAAATAACATCTATTTCAAAGCAAAAATGAAACCATAGCAGTTTTTGCCATTATGTATTTTCTCAAACAAAAGATACCAAAAGAACAGCCACTGATCATGACTTTGGTTTAAAGTGGCTGGAATCTCTGTGTAGAGTATCACTAGGGGGACAGTCACCAAGGGAACAGTCGCCAAGGGCCCTTTCGGGTCAACTGTCCCACAGTTGTCCGGCATCACTTGGGCAAATGCTTGCCCTTGTTTCTCAGGCCTAGGTCCCTGTGGGGACAAGCCTCTTGTGTGGACTGCAAGGACCAAGCCCCCAGTGTGCAGGCTGTGTCCTGGTTCTGCAGCCCTATAAATTGGGCTGTGGTCATGGCTGCACCTTGGGCCTGTTTCTGCTCCAGTTCTGATAGTGATCAGTTGTAAGAATGGAGCATGGGCATTTCCCTCCCCAGTCCCTCACCATCAGACCCTGGTAACAATGTGCCCTACCTCCCAACCACCAGCACTAAAGATGACTGCCCACTTGGGATCTGCCACCAACAGGCATCTGACCCACCCCTAGCTGAGCCAAGTGACTTCCCCTGCCCCATCCTGCCACAAGCCTGAAGGTTGAGAAGCAGGTCTCACATCCAAGCGCAAGGTCAGACCTTTCTCTCACCTACCTTGGTGGCCCAGCAGCCACCCTCCTCCACCTGGACACACCCTCGGCTCTGGGCCAGGGGTTCTAGATCACAGACAGAAACCAGAAATCACCAGCTTCTCATTCCCCGAGTGGGTCCCTCCCTGGCCAGGTTTCACACTAGTTCTTGGTGCTGAGTCAGAGCTTTACAGAGCATCAGAATAAAGCAGGGGCCTCAGCTGAGTGCCCCCCCCCAAGAAGGCCCACATGTGGGACCACCCCACTCTGGCGGGGTTTACAGAAACACCACCAGCAAAAGGAACACTCCGGGCTAAAGGCCACCCACCCACCGATCCAGACTTTGAGGCACAAATCCCCGATTCCCACGCACGTCCCCAAACCAGAGGCTGGAACCTTGCCAACTTAGTATTTTAAAAAATAAAGCCAGGGGCAGAAGACAGTCCTGCTGCCCCCGCACCCAATGATCTTCTCCCTCAAGACTCCACTTGCTACTTTTAATCAATTTTCCCTCCAACACACCGGAAAGAGCCCGAGAACCGCCTTCTCTTCAGGACACCATCCCCCTCTTCAGCTTCTAACTTTGCCAGTCTCCGGACAAAGATAATCACACCCCCCCGCTGCGAGACCTCACTTGCCGCCCACCTCATCCGCATGCAGCCCAGGCTCTACTGGCCCAGGACCCCACTCCCCACCCGGGGAGAACTGCGGAGGGCTTTGCCCTGCGACCCAAGAAGCCGCTCCCCAGGGCCTGAGGACGCATTCAGCGAGGCCCAGCCCCTAGGCCCCGTGTTCCGGGCGGGGACGCCCCCTTCCCGCAGCATCCACACAGCAAGGGGCTCGCGTAAAGCCCGTGGGTGGGGTGAGGTTGAGACCCCGGAGGGCCGCCCATCCAACCACCCGACGCGCACTCACCACGTAGCGCCACGGAGCCCGCGCGTCTGCGCCAGGGCCGCGGGGAAACCCACGCGCGCCGTTCAATCCGGGCTCCGAGTGACGAAAAGCCGCGCTGGGCTCCGGCCAGCCCCGGACCCCCGCGCCTACCGCCGGATTCACCCCCGTCTGGCTTGCTAACTAAGTTTGAAAGTTCCCTCCCCAGGAGGGAAGAGACGCGGACGGTGCAGCTGCACCTAAGCGTCCCGGGCCGGCCCCGGCGTGGGGAGCCGGGGTCTGCCGCTCTCTGTTCGGGGTGCCGGGCACGTGAGCTTCCATCGGGAGGACGCGCCGCGGCAGCGCAGCTGGGACCAGGCTGGGGGCGGCGATCTCGGAAAAGACTGGGGTGGGGGGAGGGGGCCGGTGACCCTCACTGCAGCCCCAGACCGGAGGGACGCCCGCTCACCGTTCCCGGGAGGGGACAGGCCTCGATTGGCCATTGCCAACTCGGAATCCCAGGCCCCGGCGGGCAGTGACGGCCAATTAGTGAACGGCCAATTAGTGCGCCTCGGCGCCGGAAAGTTAAAGCCCCGACGCGCGAGTTGGTGACCAGGGTGAGGGCTGGGGCGGCGCGGAGGCTGGGTGTGACCGCGTGTGGCTGTGTGACCGCCAGGCGATTAGTGTGTCTCAGGTTCACCGTACATGGGTGGCTGTGCATGCGTGACATTGTGCGCCCGTGTGAGTGATGGTGGGTGTGAGCGTGTGACTGTCGGAGCAACTTCTTTGTGTGACCGTCCCCAGCTGCGACTGGGTGTGACAGGCGAGGGGGGCATGTAACGGAGTGTGAGGCATCGTACTGTGTGAATGGGTGACTTGTATGTGGCGATGTGACAGTGTATGTGGGCGAGTGACTGCAAGTCATTGTGTATAAATGACTGTTAGGGTGACTTGTGTGGGACGGTAAGACAGTGTAAGTAGGTGCTTGGCCGCCTATGTGTGTGACAGTGGGTCACTATGTGTCAGCCTGTGAATGAATGTGGGGTTGTCGGGGGAGGTGGCCGAGTGTGTCACTGTGTCATCGTGTGAGTGACTGTCGAGGTGACTTCTGCCTGTGAACGGAATAACTCAAGCCGTGAGTGTAACGGCGAGGATATCTATGTGAGTGGCATGTGCCCGTCGGCGGGGCTGATGCGTGCGGGTCCCCGCGCATTGGCACCGCCGGCACCTCCCCCCGTGGGCCTCCGAGAGTGTCCCGTCCCGAGCCGCCAGGTGACTCCTGTCCCGCACTCCAGCCCGGGACGCTCCCGCCGCGGCGCGGGGTCCGAAGGCGCAGGCAGGCCGCGCCCGCCTCGGCGCCCACCCCCGGCCCCCGCCTACCTTGCCGCAATGGTAATAGTCCAGGTGCGCCAGGCCGGCCGGCTCGGCCCCGGGCCGCGCGCCCACCGCGGGTGCCGAGGGGTACAGGCGGACGTCCATGGCGGGCGCGGCGGCGGCGGCGGCGGCTCCCGCGGGCAGTGCCTGGGCGGGCGGCGGGTGGGAGCCAGTGTGCGAGCGGGTGTGCGAGAGCGGGGGGCGGGCCGGGGGCGGGGCCCGGCGGAGCGCCCCGCCCCCGCCCCCGCCCCGCCCGCGCGTGCTATTGTTCCGGCCTCCGGCGCCGCGGAGAGCCGGGGGCCCGGGCCCAGGGGAAGGGGCCCCTCCTTCGAGGCGGGCCGCCGCGGGGTCTCTCGCCGGGCTCTGCACCCCCGGGGGTCCGGGAGGGGTGCGCGCCGGTCCAGACGGCCCTTTCCCGTCCCGCCTTCCCCACCAAGGATAAGGGGAGGGAGAAGCCCATTTGACACCCCTTCCCAGAAGTGGGACACTGCCCACCCTGAATATTTAGAAAGCGGGGTCGGGGGAGGAAGGCGGTGACAGGAACACTTTCGAAGATGGGTGCTGCCTTGCCCAGGGGGACCACGGCCCAGCGCCTGCGGCTGATCTTAGGAGGCCCTCCCTCCTTGTCCCACTGATCAGAATCACTGAGAAGGGCTCTGGGAGTTGCTGAGCTTAAACTCTAACTTTACGTGTGAGGAAACTGAGGCAAGGACAGTCACTTCAGTAATGAAGCTCCAAGTGAGTGGGCCCACCGCCCCCAGAGGATCCAGGTCTGAGACAACTGGGAGCAGTCAGAGGGCCCTGACCCCTTTAATTACAGGGAGAGAGAGGGCCATAGAAAGGGCCTAGAAACTGAAGTTCTGAGGGTCCAGAATCTACCCTCACCACCCCTACCCCCAAGTTCTCCTGGAGACAGAGAAGAACAGAAATGGGATGGTTCCCATGGTGGAGCAGAAAGGTGACTGAAGCAGGCTCCTTCTCCCACAGGAAAAGAGCCCCCAAACTCCTCACATCACCTGCAGCAGCTGACCTGTTGCTCCTCCCCTTCTCATAATTGTCTACACTAGCAGTCTCCACTCCCTCACCTCTACTGACCGCTGCACCACCGCCCTCTGGTTCCTGGCTCTGGCACACTGGGATGCCTAGCTGGGAAGTGCCAGGAGGCCAGGAGGCAGAAGTGGGTCAGAATGGGATTGGTAGATGGCAGCTGGACACGATGCTATTCAGAGAAAAAGGTCACTCCCTTTTCTGCCCACTCAGGAGCCAGCTTGGAACTTAGCTCCCACTGCTACTTGAGCTTTGTTGGTCCTGACTTCGAGCTATGACCCACTATTTGTGACCATGAAGATCCACTAATACAAGACTGGTGTGGGAAACAGGCTTTTGCTAAAGGTTTGGGAACAACAGAGGGAAATTACTACTCAGAAAGGAAAGAACTTCCAAATAGATTTCAGCAGTCATTGTGTCTAGAAATAAATTGCCATATCTCATCAGAAGGAATTTCCCATTGGCCCCTCTACTTTTTTTTTTCCATCTGGACATCCAGCTGACCCAGCACTATTTATTGAAAAAATCACCTTTCCCCCCACTTCTCTGCAGTGTTAACTTTGTTATAAATCAAGTTATCCATATGTGTATTGTTTCTGAATTCTCAAGTCCGTCCCATTAGCCTATTTTTCTCTCCTTGTGCCATTGTCATACTGTCTGGATTTCTGTAGCTTTATAATAAGTGCCCCAATAGAAGAGGTCTACACACTTTTATCTTCAGGACCGTCTTGGCTATTCTTGACATTTGCACTTCCACTGACATTTTTAAAATCAGCTTGTCTGTTTACACACACGCACACACACACACACAATCCTGCTGGGATTCTGATTGCTATATTGCTATCACATTGAATCTTTAGATCAATTTGGGTAAAATCGACATTTTCAGTATTAAGTCTTGCTATCCATAAACATGGTATGTCCTTTCATTAATTTAGATTTTTTTCATTTTAAAGTTCTCTCAGCAATGTTTTATAGTTTTCTTTCTTTTTTAAAGATTTATTTATTTATTTATTTATAGAGGGCCGAGAGGAGGGGCAAAGGGAGAGAGAGAGAATCTCAAACAGACTCCCCACTGAGCATGGAGCTTGATGTAGGCCTCCATTTCATGACCCTGAGATCATGACCTGAGCTGAAATCAAGAGTTGGACACTTAACCTACTGAGCCACCCACGTGCCTCACTTTTTTTTTTTTTTAGTTTCTATGTAGAGCCTTTGCATATCTTTTATTAGATTTAGTCCTGAGTCTTTGATGCTATTATAAATGGTTTCTTTATATGGCTTTTTATCTTCCTGTTTGTTGTAAGTACAGGGCAGTAGTTTTAAAACAAGTCAACAAATTCCCTCACTCTTACATGGAGTGAAATCTAATAACTTTCCCCTATAAAAGGGATGAGTTTAGTGAATGGTTTTTAATAAAAAAAATATGGTGGAAATGACACATGGATTCTGAGTCTAGGTCGTAAAAGTTGATACAACTTCTGCCTGGCTCCTTCTTTTGGACATTTGTCTTTGAAACCCTAAGCCACTATGTAAGAAGTCCTAGGCTGCTGTGCTTTAAAGAAGTCTGAAGTAAGCTACACATAGACTCCATATGCAAAGACCCTGAGACTAAAAGAGTAAGAGGACTCACCAGTCCCCAGTTGGATCAGCCCCCTACTGTTCCAGTTCCATCTACTCTTTGACTACAACCATATGAAAAACCCTGGAAAAACCCTAGCTGATCCCTTCCTGAATCCAAAATGAACAGAAACCATGACAGATAATAAAACACTATTGTGGTTTTAAGCCATGAGGTTTTGGGGTGATTTGTTACTTGGCAATATAGATGTGGAACATATATAGATTTTTGTATAATGCCCTTGTATTCAGCAACATTGCCAAACTCACTCATTCTAACAATTCATCTGTAGATTCTTTAGCTTTTTAAAAAATATACCGTATTCTATCTCATCTGTAAAAATGAGAGTTCTAGTTTTTCTTTTTCAATCCTTATACGTTTTATTTCTTTTTCTTGCCTTGTTGCACTGGCTAGTATTACCAGTACAATGTTGGAAAGAAGTAATAATAGCAGGCATCCTTGTCTCATTCCTGATCTCAGAAGGAAAGCTATCAGCATTTCACCATTGACTATAGTGCTTGCTATAGTGTTTTGTTTAACTTCATTATGTTGTTTCGTTGCTTTTTGTAGATACCTCTGCTGTGGGTTGGGGAGGTCAATCTTCACAGCAATCCTGTGGGTCAGGAAATAAGACTGCTGTGGCCATTTTGCGGATGAGAAGAATAAGGCCCAGAGAGGAGTGCTCAACATCACAGTGTTAATAGCAGGACTCATTAGCAGTACATAAGCCTAGAAATCCCACCTGGAGCACTTCCCACTTACTTCCCTTACTTCCATAATCCTGGTCCCACTAACTCTGACCAGAGCTATATAACAACAGCCACCACAGTATGGCGGCCCATGTGCAATGGGTCAGCTGCAGGCAGTAGCAACACCAGCACTGTCTGTTACCTATGTCCACTCCCTTCCCTGAGGAGAGGGTGGGCACCAAGGAGGTCTCCGGGGAGGCCAGCAGGGAGCCCTGCGAGGAAGCCATACAGATCCAAAGCTTGGACTTGCCCTTTCATGTTGGCAGTTGACCAGATAGGAAGTTTATGACTTCCAAAGAAATATCCAGCCTCATCTGTTGTCCTCAGGATAGGAGTGGAACTTGAGCCTTCCTCTCTTCCTCTTGACTCCATACAGAATCTGTAAGAGGGGAGTCTCAGGTCTTAGCCAGTGACCAGCTGGCTCAACCCAGTTTGGGGACCCAGAATATCAGCCTGTGCATCTTCCAGTTCTCAGCTTCTGGTATCATATAAACAGCTGAGATATCAGAATATAGATATGTCTTAATATGTCTTATTATTTAGATATGGTGAGGCAAACAGATCAGGAGACAATTGCCATCGAAAAGATAGTTTGTTACTCACAGTTCCCAAGAGAAGGAGGCACACCATGTCATGGAGGTGGGATGGGGTGGGGCACACAGGGAAGCATATGCGTTGTTCAGAAGCAGAGGGAGGGGGGAGAAATGTGGGCAAAAGTGTTTACTGTGGTTTCTGTGGAAAAGAATACACGAGGTGGGGTAAGCAGATTTAGGATAGGCTAGTTCAAATAATTTCAGCGGGCTCCAGGCCTAGGGACTGACGTTAATTGTCTGGTACTGGCCCTGGGTGACAAGGGCAGGTGGAGAGTGGCCTGGAGTGTGAGAGCTCAGTAAAGGAGGTGGTTGCTGGTATGGGCTCCAGATTGGTTGGTTTACATTTAAAAGCACATGCACAGGAGAGCTGTTTACTATCTCTAGGAATTGGCTAACTCTAGTAGGGGCAGTCCGTCCAGGGTCTACAAGGCCCCAGATATGAAAGCATCAAATACAGAAAAGACATGGTTAATACAAGACATGTTCACTTATCCATGGGATCCCAGAGAGAAATGAGTCCTGCTCCAACTATGGCCCCTTTACACCTGAGGAATGTCCTGGCTTTAAATCAAAATGGCCAACTCTCTAGATACACCTGTGGCCAAGGAGCTAAATACTCAACTGTGGAAGTCCTTCGGTCTCATCATTAATATTATGTCTCAGTCTTATGGGTATTTGGTAGAATTATACTTCCCCTCCCCTTCAAGTTAGGTATGACGGTGTGACTTGCATTAGCCAAGGGAACATAAATGGAAATGTTATTTGTCACTTCCTGCCAGGAAGTTTAAGGATCTGGGCATAATTTACTCTATTCTCTTTTCTGTCCACCATGAAAACCCTAACAAATTCCAACTCCTCCTTTAAGACCCAATTTAAGTAACAGCTCTTTGGTGAAGACTTCTCCAAGACTCCAACTCAGTGTTTCAATTTGCTGCTCCAATAACTGCACACAGAACGATTTCACCAAACCTTAGTAATACATTTGCTCCATGAGTATCTCCAGGGCAGGGAAAATGTCTCACTGATCTTGGTGCTTCCAATGACTAGAACAGGAGCTAAGACAGCACGGATATGCCATGCCCTCCTCCAGGGGAGACAGAGCTTTGAAGGACCTTCCTAGGTCCTTCTGGCCGGCAGAATGGGGCTCTGGAAAC